AGGCCTGCAGCAAACGCCAAGATTGAGACATTGTTCCATGCGCTATCCGTTCCCCCCCACAACAAGGATCCTGCTTCACCTGCAGTACGGGTAAGACGACCTGCACATATGCAGTAACCAAGAAAAAGGACACCGACAGTGAGGTTGAAGACGAGATCCAAAAGGGGTTGCAGGATCTTGAAACGGCCACAGTCTCCGGGGGAGATGCCCAAGTGAAGATCGTGAGGAAGAAAGCGAGGTCAAAGAAGCCGCAGGTGAAGAAGGTGAAGCCAGATGTCAAAGAGAAGGGCAAGCAGGATGTCGAAATGGCCGCAGTCAGGCATGATGTGGAGCATGCAATTGACGTGGACATGGAGGTTGGTCTGACAATGGGAAAGGGGAAGTCCGAGGGTGGTATCGACATAGAGATGGCCGAAGTCAAACATGAGGAAACCGAGGTCGGTGCCATTCCAAAAGCCGACAAAGACGTGGGCCGGGTGACTCCCACCATAATCATTGAGCCACCCACACCACACACATTGGCGATTTTCAAGAGCACTGAGACCGAGGTCGGTACCAACACTGACAAAGGAAAGGGCCGGGAGATTGGGCCGCCAGCCAGTGAGATGGAGTGGATCGTGCCCGAGTTAGCAATGCGGCCGGGTAAAAAATTCATGAAACTCGTTATTCTTTGCTGACTTCGTTTATAGAATTGGGCTTGGCTGTCAATTATATGCAACAAAGCTTTACACCCCCACCTGTTGAGCGCACGTCCCGGCCAGAAGGTTCGTGTTCGGTATCCCGTTCTCGGCAGGTCAGCCCACCAGATCCCAAGGAGGTTCATCGTAAGTTTCAAGTTGTTTTCTCATTTCCCATGATTCTCAACTTGAAAACTTAGTTGACACAGCGCTCTATCAGAAGAAGATTGACTTTAGGTCCTTGAGCCCCCCACCGAACTTTGACATGCAGACGATGCAGCAGGAGATCAGAAGACTTGCTCATGGCCAAGCCGACCTCCTGCAGAAACTCCGAGACCAACAAGCGCAAGTCAGCGTCATGGAGTCGTCTACCCCTACTATGCGAGAGTATTCGGCATTTGTGGTCCGAAAACAAGATATTGACGCAAGTGCCCTTCTCCCCCCGGTGGTTGACTCACCCGTGACCCTGTCACAACGTCTTTTGGCGCTCGAAGAGATTACCCGGTGTATTCAAGATCAAGATTTGGCTAGCCGTCCTCTGTCGGAGAAAATTGCAAGTCTAGAGACCTCCGTTTGGTTTCAGGAAGAAAAAATCACCGGAGCGACTCGCCGGATGGACCATATTGAAGAGTCTGCCCACATGCGTTGGAAGGAAACACAAGAAGATTTGCAGTCCATCCGAAGTGATCACCAGAGACTGGAAGCCGAGGTGAGGGAAGCCGTCAAGACACTGGAGAACAAGTGGGAGACTACGCCAGCTGCGTTACAAGAGAGTCTCACCCGGGGCTTTGAGAAACTTGCAAGCTGCATCGAAACTGCCGAGCTAACGCTCCACGACCTCACCAAATCAGTCACTACTATTTCGGAGCTCAACCTGCGGCTCGGTGCTCGCCAATCAAGTCTGGAATCGCTCATTATCCAGTTCCTCAGCAACAAGGAGAAGAAGCACACTGGCATCAATACCGATCACTCAGTCTCACCCGACCGTGGTCAGAAAAGCCAGCAGGTACAAGTCTCCCCGACCCCGGGTGTCGTTCTGCCAAACCCAGTTTCAACCGATCACGCGCAAGTCTCTCCAACCCCGGCTGTCTTTCTGCCTCCAGCATCTGAGAGCCCAGCGGTCCTTCTGTTGGCACCAAACCCAATTCCTCCAACCCGGGCAAGTTCGCCCGGTCCTTACATTGGGGGTAATAGGAAGTCACCTCGGCTACAGAAACTCGAACCCACACTTCAAACCCCCGCACAGAGTAAGTCTTCTACTTGGTGAGGATTCAAAAATCTGACTGCCAGCAAGTTACAAACAATGATGTCCAAACTGTCCAAACTCCGTCTACTTAATAGTTAGTAGCATACATGTATATTTTTTGGACAATCTTCAATTTTTTTTTGGGCATATTTAATATGAAGTCCTGTGGTGGACATAATAATGAAAGCAGTAAGGCCTCGGCTTCTTTCACGACCCAGTAAACTGTGACCGGCAGAGAAAAGCGGGGGGATCTTGGAGCAACTTTGTCCAATGGAGACCGGCATAGTAACAGCTTGGCGTTTATTTCAGGCAGCCAAGTGCGGTTGTTTGAGCCAGACCCGTTCCAACATGGGTATGTTTACAAGAAACATTGGTCGGTATAAACTTGGTAGGGATTTTGAACCGGGTGTGCATAATATATCTCACTGCCTTGTGAACGTCACCGTGCTCGGCTTCTTGGGAAGTCATGGACCCAGTAAACTGCATGACCGAATACTGGACCATGACCGGCAAAGAAAAGCCGAGGTAATGTTTGAGCAACTTGGCAAATAAAACCTGAGTGAAGACGAAACTCGGCCGTATAGTGTCAACTGGATGGGACCAGGTTGGGCTGATCCACGCTGCATGGGATTCAAAGCTCTTCAGCAGACCCATGACACATGAGCCAATTCCATGAAGAGACGGGTTGACCCAGGATCTAAGGCATATTTAATTCATGGGGTACTAGCTGACTGACCATGTCACCGTGCTCGGCTTCTTGGTAGGTGATGGACCCGACCCAGTAAACTGCATGATGACCGGCAATGAAAAGCCGAGGTAAACTTGGCAAATAAAAATGAGACGGCTGTGGGCTGATCGACAATGCATGGGATTTAGAGCTCTTCAGCTGACCCATGACACATGTTGAGCCCAATCCATGAAGAGATCGGTTGACCCAGGATCCAAGGCATTTTTAGCTATGTCAATTCATGGGGTACACTTCTCAGCCGATGCACAGTACCAGTCCTAAGAGAGTCTTGATGGCCGGTCCACCTTTGATGGGGTCAACTGATCCATGGGCTCATCAGCAGGCACCATCAACTATGGTCTGTTTGTATGGTCGGGGGGCTCAGTATTAGTGGGGTAAGGTAACTAATACTTGTGGAAAATGCATGATAACTGGAATGATTCCTATCATAAAGACTGTGGACTTATACACAGGGAGCCCTAGGCAGTTACCTTATTTTTATGATAAAGGTGGTACCCACTAGTGGTATGTGCCAGATATCTATCATGTCAACGCACCTTACGAGATCCATCAGGTTCCCAAGTGCAAGGACGGAGGTTCAGCAAGATGTTGCTATGTGTGACGTGATCAATCTCATCGATAGCGAGGATGCATGGGAGGAGGCTGAGATGAGCAGAAGGCGTATAGCAGCTCAACAAGATGTCGCCGTGCGTGTGGATAGCGAAGATGTGAGGGAGGTGTCTGAGATGTGAGGGAGGTGTCTGAGATGAGCGGAAGCCGTACGGCGGTTGGGGAAGATGTCGTGGTGCACGACATGATCACTCCCATGGATAGCAAAGATGTGAGAGAGGCTGAGATGAGCGGAAGCCGTCCAGTGACCACAAGGGTCAAATATAGAACGAGCAGACATACCTCATGCGCCGGAATCCTTCTCTCCTTTCCACCTGGCAGAAACGAGCACACCTCATATCCATTCGGGCTTCACTCTCAACTGCCAGTTCCTTGGAACTACCACTCCATCAACGATATGTTCATCCTTCAAGCAAAGATTTGTCGGGGGCGCTTGGATACTGCGTGCAAAAAAATTTGCGCCTCTTGCCAAGGGATAACATCGAACTTGCTGTACGAAGGGATCATTGGTCGCATTGAGAGTGGGATACGTGAGAACACACCTCTTGCATATCATCCTATTGGATCCTTGACAGAGCTGATGCGGCGGAAATCTGAACAACTGGTTGAATTGCGCCTGATGAAGCTGAACGAGACCAGGAAGGTCTTGGTGAAGATTGAGGCATTAGACGACCACAAAAAGTGGGTGCTGGCAGTTGAGAGCAGAAGAGTCGATCGTGTGGCTGCTCTGGTTCAGGCTGGAAGGGGAAAGAAGCTTGGTGTGAAAGGACTCATCGCCCAATACGAACAAGCGGCGAGGAAGCTCTACAAACTGAAGGGTTTTACGAGAGAAGAGATCATGATGTCGATTGTTCTCCTTCGGATTGGTGGTAACCGTGTGGGATCCTTCGCCCATTTGGCTATGTCACTCCCTAGTGTCACAACCGCAAGGAGGAACGCACTGCTCCGGCCCATCTCAGTGTCGGCCTCGCACCCCACTGTATCGGAGATTGAGGAAAATATAAAGTCATGCTTTGCGCCGCTCGAGGAAGTTCTGGATGCCTTGCCTGCAGGAACAATCAAACATCAGGTGTTGATGCTCGACGAAATTGCAATTGAGAAGAGGCCACGATGGGACGACAAAACTAATTTGATATTGGGGTTGTGTCGTGAACATAGCCATAAGGTTTCACTCAACTTTTCAACGGACAAGGAATTAGACGTCCTTTGTGACAGTATTGATAATGGACGCGTTCATTTTGCAAGTGAGGTTAGTAAATCAAACTGTTGATTCTTGGCGAAGATTTTCTTATTTTGTAACATGCAGGCAACATTTGGTGCATTAGGAACACTTTCCGATGATCCTCACGAGTACAGCATCCGTCTGTGTGTGATATCTGGCCTCTGTAAGAAGGAAACAGGAGCACAACATGCTCATTTTATCTGCACAGTCATGCAAGCCGTGACTAATCAAAGCCTGGTCCACAGGGTGAAATACCGAACTGTTTCGATCGCATCGGATGGAGAGTCAAAGCGTGGGGATGTCTTGGTCGAGCTGACCATGCGTCAGGAACTCAATCCCTCATCACCAATTTATCTTCAACTGAAGCCGCTCGCTCTAATGAATCTCCTTGTGGGTGAAGATGACATCACGGCAGACAAGGACTTTAAGCATGTCTTCAAATGTCAGCGAAATCTTTTACTGCGCAACAAAGGATTTGTCATTCGAGGATTTTGCATTACCACTTCCATCCTTTGCCTTCATCTACAGTCGAACAATGTCTCCTTGGATCGTCTGCAGTCGTTGTTAAATCCGAATGACAGACAAGATGTCGTGCTTGGCTACAATCTTATGAAGGAAATCTGGTCCCTGCCTCCTGCCAAAGCGACTGCCAGCCCAGATTTTGCGCGTGCTCGAGAAGCTCTCCGACTTTACGGTCAATTTGCTTATCATTTAATCCTGCCTTACATCTGCGTCGACTTAAATCTGGATGAGCAGCTTTCACATCTAAGCACAGCCGCTCACCTTGCATTTTATCTCTATACTGACGGATCCGCCAAAACGAGGTTCATGCCAAACCAATCCTTTGTCGACATCATGATCATGGTGAAAAACACATACTTCTGTGTCGCAAAGTGTAAAGTTGACGATCCGAAGGGGGGTTTACGCCTATTCCAGTTGGGGACTGATCGTCTAGAGGGATTCTTTGGGCTTATTAGAACGGCGATTGGAACTGATACAAATGTCGACATCATGCAACTTGGAAGCCGTGCATCTGGGTTAGTTGAGGTTGCAGCAATACTGGCGCTACACCCTGAATGGGACCAATCACCTCGGCGTCTGGGACTCCCAACGATTACAAAGGACACTACAATGGAAATTAACTCAAAGTTCGACCACATCAATCCAGCCAGTTGGCATGGATCTGCCAGTGTGGAAAGCATCAACATGCACACGGCATGGATACTTGGGGAGCGTGCTGCAATCAAATTAATACCAGAAGCAGAACAGGTTTTTGATGATGCGGTGCAGCGAAACCTTACCATGCTTTCTCCCTTCGGGACTCTCCTCGTTAACCAACGTGATGAGGAGGAGGACGATTTCGACTGCTCAGAGCTCTCTGCACAATACCCGAGCAATGCCAATACCTGTGAGCAGGAAGCTTCTGAACGTGTATCACACAGGACACACACCTTAGACGGTGATTTAGAGGATACGATTGCTGAGGAGTTGCCGCATGGATCTATTTCTTCAGAGATACAGATTAACGGTCGTAAAACCACAAAGCCTCAAGCATTATGACAAAGAATGATGCATCACACGAATCGCTCGTCAACCGATCGACTTAAACGGGTTCAAGAACTAACATGTTTTAATCCTTCGGAAGCTATGTCTCCCATCGACACCGAGCAAAGTGATTCCTCACCTTCGATACACATTGGCAATCCTATCGCTGTCCTTGTGGAATGTGAGAAAAAACTCTACCTCGCTGTCGCACACATCAATCAGGTACATTTTGCTGGGAACGGGGATTTGATGACCCTCTGCATGCACCTTCTTGTTGACGCCACGGCGAAAGTGAGCTTCCAAAGTCTTTGCATTGTTCCCGCGACCGTCGAGGATGATCCATCCAAAGAATACGACTGGTGCTGGGCTCAGAACATGGAAGCGACATGTCACGATGTCCCTGGTGAATTGATCCAACCGATTAACCCAGAATTTTTTTACAAGGATGGGAAGGCCATGTACCTCTTGGATTCCAACTTTCTCCTCACTGTCACTGCCGACCTCCTCGATCGCTTGACCCATCAAAGTTGTCGAGGAGTACCTATGGTCTCACGAACAGATCATTTCCTGTATCGCCTATTGGGGAAAACCTGCTTCATTGGTGAGCGCGAGGTTCAGGATGGCGTCGACGACTTGGGGGAGAAGTCTGTGTGTTCAAGATGCAGTTCTAAAACCCATGTTGACAGCCCAGGCTGTAGTTTTAGACCCTTTTTCCCTGGGTCCACACAGGTGTGGACTTGGCATACATGGTGGAATAATCTGACCTCTTCCCATGCCAAAATTTTCTACATTACCATTCCCTCACAGAATTTGTATTTGGGATTTTGAAATGGGGCGAAAAATCCATTTTCGGGGTCATAATGTAGCCCTAGGATAGGTTTTCCGAGATAGCCCATCATAATTGTTGTTTGGTGTTGGCTTTTCCCATCATCATTTGTTGATCACTTCCGCTGTCAGTTGATATGACTTCCGCTGTCAATTGATATAACTTCTGCTTTCTGCTGATATGATTTCCTTACCCTTCGTATGATTTCCGTACTTGTATGTTATATTTTATATATGTTTTTTTCCGCGCTTTTTCTCCGAAAAATAAAAACATAGGGATAGCAATAGAATGCACTTTCTGCACTTTTTCAAGACATATCACCCAAATGTATGTCACATTACTCTCATTTTAGTGCATACACATTGTTTTAATGGGAATCCACCCATACGCGCTGTGCGAAGGACGTGTCAAAGTCGACGCGACGTTGTTGCAACACGTTCAACGAGTCACGTGACGTGTTGAACTTGGCTGCCCATCCTGCCGGTCTCGTTTTGACCAGGCTAGACTCCATCTACATTCAAGAAAACAGTTTTTTACTATACTAATAGTAGAAAACTACAAGAAGAACAAAATATAAAGTCATGGTAGACCACAAACGGGTCAAAAAACGCAAGCGACTGTGAACCGCTACTTGGGGTAGGATCCACTAGGGTAGCGGGAAAGCCGTTGTGGAACTGGCGAGCAGAGGTGTGATGACCCGCGTAGTGGTCGCAGATCGAGGATCGCGCTCGGAGACGAAGAACGTGACAGTCCAACGTAATTCGCGTTCCGTCTTCCAGGTGCAGTCCCACGGAAGATGCGTCGTTCAGATCCTTCTTCCTCACTAAGCTACTCAAGGTTTGACGACTGTGGCCCTTGATAAGGCTTTCAGAGTCAAACTCGTAGAGTCCGAATAGATGATAAAAGAGATGATATTCCTCGTGTTGTACACGAGGTAGAATACAGCGTACATGATGACGTAATACAAGATGAAGTAAGCATAGGTGAGATGTGTGCGCGTTTACAGTAAGTGGGCGAAGGTGATGGAAAGTAATGTGTGCGGGGTAGTGATGCTATGTAGGACTAACCTGTTACAAAGCCCCCCACTTTCCAGCTCCTTGGTCACTCCATCCGCTGTTCGGGTAAGGTGATATCTTCGACATGCATTTTGTGCCAAGTTGGGTGAAGGCCTGCGCGTGAGACACCATCCATGATGTCCTCGAAGTCTTGAAGAGTAGGCAAGTAATCTGGTCGTCGTTGTCCTCGTTCATTGTTCCGAATCCAATCCCTCCACTTCTCTCTTGTGCGAAGCTTGCCTTTCCCTCTAGCGATGGAGTCCGCTAATCTACAGTAGCAATGGTCCAAGGCCGTGTTCCATTCGCCTGTCCAAAGCGTGAACTTGTCCTCAAAGATGTCCATAGGGGGAAAGAGCCACCGTCCCATACATCCGTTCGTGCCTGGGCAGTATCCTAGAAGCAGGTCTTTTTCTTGTTCTGAGACGACGTCATGGGTAAGATAGGAGGCGTCCTCGCTTGATGAATCGTAAAAGCCTTTATTGTGAACAGTCGTCTGGATGGATGGGCCCGACATAAATTCCTCGACCAGTCTTTGGCCTGCCCATCGGCGTGCGATCCAGCTTAACTGCCCTCCTTCCGCAATGAAAGCGCGAGCGTGAGGGCGCCGCAGCATGTCGTTCATTCTTGCTAGGTACGCTGTACAGAAGGTAGTGCCGTTGTCCATTGGCGAAAGAGTTGTCTCGTGAAAACCCGTTCCGTAGAGTGAAGCCGCTGAGCTGTGATCGAGGTTGTCAACGATGATGGGTCTGAATTGCCGGGCGCGGTCCAGGGATATGGCCAGAAAGAAGCGGATGCCGTGTTCGATGGCTGTCGTAAGCAAACGTTTGACGGTGCCCAGCGTATTCCAGCAATTGGCCCAATACCTAAGACGACTATCTCCAGATAGTCCGGATTCCAAGCGAATGCAGGTGCTGACCAGATGCTCTCCGTGTAAGTTATTTTCGCCGATTCGTCCCGTAGCATACGTCTGAACATTACTTCAGGCTTTTCGTGTTCAATGTAATAGGGTTCTGATAGGCGAGCGGGAGATTGAGAGCGCCCTCGTACGCTGAAGAGATGGTCTCCCGTACCGCGACGGTCAGCTGCTTGACGCCTTGCCCGCTCCAACTTTTGGTCGTTTTGGCGGATCCATGCTGCAGGGCTGTTCACTGCCCGAGGATCGTACAATTCATCTGAAAGCTCTTCGAACCGGATGCAGAGGAACTCTTCGTTAGTCGACTTGGTGTCCGCACTATCGTCGTCGACCGTCATATCATCGGGTGCTAGTCCGTCGGATCCATCGGATAAACGGTCTAGCAATTTTGCTTTGGTCGTCGTACTGCTGATCCGTTGGAGTAATGAAGGCGGTTTTGCTTCGGAATTGGCTCGCTTGACAGTTAGGCCCGTCTCGATGTCGTAGAGAATTCCTGACTTTGGCCCGTAGCTGAACCTCCATAGTTCTCAAATGGTTGTCGCGTTGTCTTCACCTGGTAGTGACGGCTTATATTGACGGCGAAGGTATTCGTCTGTTGGTTTGCGCTTACGCCACCTCCAAAAGAGGAGAGTCTTAAATCGACCTTCTCCTTCGTCTAGTGTAGTGTAGTAGTAGAGTTTGGAGAGACAAGTCAACATGTCGTCCGAGTATTTGATGGGTCTGCGTTTCCACCCTTCGAAATCAATAACGAAGATGGAGTAAGACTGATAGAGGGGAGGGTCGAAAGGTTGCGAGTATGAAAAGACCTCTTGAAAGAATTCATCGAGCTTGATTGCGTGTCGCGCGATCTTATTCAAATCATCCTCTTCAAGGTCGGTTGGAATCCGCAGGGGTGTGCCTTTCCTTACCGACCAATAAGTCATGTTCAAAGTGGGGTTCAAGCGACTAAAGCGATTGTCGGACCTCGCTTCGAAGTCCCAGAGGTAGAAAAAAGGAATTTTGTTCTGTATGTAAAGAGGGATGTTGATGATGCTCCAATCTTTCTCTAGGTTGCAGATAACCCCTCTCCTCCCCTTGACTGTAGTGATGAAGCTGCTAATAAGATCAATCATGCTCTCGAATAGATCACTCTCCCAATCCGAAATCACTGCCGTCCACCAAGACATGAAGGCTATGGCTTGTAGGACAGATCGTTTTGCTCGCGCCGCATCGATCTGGGCGTGTTTCGCTGAGAGATGGAGCTTCTGGAGTCGTTGGGTAGGGTAGAACTTCGGGACTTTCGCTCTAACGGGAAAACGGGGGTCCATTTCAACAATTCCACGGACACCGGCTTGAACTTGAACTAGGTCATTGTTGCAGGCCTCCCTGAAGTGAAGGGCCATGCACCACCCGCCGATGCGTTCCTCAACTGGGATGGCTGTTTCCATTTTGTCGTACCATGGCCTCTCTGTGAGAAGGAAAGAGGTGGGGATCCACGGGGCCCACTGTTCGTCTTCCCTAAACCAATCGGGGTCACGGGCGAAGTCGATTGGGATGATTTGTCCGACGTCCGAGAAATCCTCAATGCTCCATCCCGGATCTGGAAGATCTTTGAAGATTACAGTTGAGTCTCTGATAAGGGACGTATCTGAGTTCAATCCCACCCAGATCGCGTCTGGATCAAGCCTAACCGAAGCGGTCGCTGGAGGATTGAGATGGTGGATGGAGTTGTCCATGAAGCACGTGTCTAGCAGGAAAGTCCACTGCAAGATAGTGCCTCTCTCTGATTCGAGTTCGTGGACAGTCCCAAAGAACTCAAACCAGGGGTTGGAATAAGGAGTGGGGTGGTTGGAGTGAGCGACGTGCACGTTTTAATATTAGTATAATTAGAATCGGAGTTATAAATGTTTTGATGAAGTTGTGGAAGAGTCTGGGCCGCTAGTATTACACGAAGAAATGAAAGGTTTGCATAGAATGGAATGATAATCCTTTGGTCAGTCAGAGGTTATGTTTCTTCCGGTATTCCGATAGCAGTTCTGCTGAATTTTTCAGGTCACGGGCAGTGGCCCATGTGTCGAACTGAGGTCCATAGCCAGTCCACCTGATAAGATACCGCAGAAGGGCCTTCTTGCCGACTCTCTTGTGACCTACAATCTTCTCTACTTCGTATTCCTGTGATTCCGTTTTTCTGATAAAGGACTCGGGTAATGTCGTCCTATTGAGGTATGTATTATCCGCTTCGTATCTCTTCAGGTGTTGGATATTGATTACTGGGGAACCAGGATAGTTGTCCCCCATCCTGAGGCGGTATACGTTAGGATTGATTTTTTGGATAATTTCGAAGGGTCCTATCCATCGAGTGGTAAGTTTTGCTCCCTCCCCTTTTGATTCTTGCCATTCTAATGAGTGTGGGTTGACTAAAACTTTGTCTCCTTCTTTCAGCTCGGATAGAGGTTTGCGGCCCTTATTGAATGCTCGTGCTTGGTGGTGCTGAGCGTGAGCTATTGCTCGTCTCGCGCTCTCCCTGTGCATCTGTAAAAGAGCCAGCCACTTTTCCGAATCCGTTCTACGCACGTCGTGACCTTGATCTTTAGGCAACAAGAAATCTATCGGGGTACGTGGTTCGAATCCGAACATCAAGAAGTTAGGCGAACAGCCTGTAGAGCTATGCACGCTTGCATTGTAAGCCCATTCCAGCAGAGGTAACCAGTGAGCCCAACTTTCTTTATTGTCCGATACGAACGCTCTTAACATGATTTCTAGGAATCGATTAACGATTTCCGTTTGGCCATCGTGTTGGGGGTGGTGGGACGATGAAAGGGACATTTTCGTCCGCAGAAACTTTGCCACGCCGTTCCAAAAGTCGGACGTCCATCTTGGGTCGCGGTCGCAGATTATGCTCTCAGGCAAACCGAATCGACAGACTATCTTTTTGACAAACAATGTACCGAAATCCTCAGCGTTCAACCCGGTTGTGGTAGGGCTAAAGGTGCCATGTTTGGTGAGTCTGTCCACTGTTACATGGATAGCGTTGTAGCCGTCTGACCAGGGAAGGTTCACTATGAAGTCCATGGCTACGGACTGGTAGGGTCTGGCGGGAATGGGATTGGGTATCAGGTAACCGTAGCGATTGAAGTTTGACGGTTTGATCTTCTGACAAACGTCGCAGGTTTGCACGAACCTGAGGACGTCCGTTTTCATCCTTTTCCAGTAGAACCGACTGGTGGCTACCACTTTTATGATAAAACTAAGGCAATTGCCTGTAGAGCTGTGTGTATAAGTCCACAAGTTTTATGAAAGGCCTTTCATAGGTGTGTCCTGTGTTTTCTTTCTCATAAAACCTATGTTCTTTTCATAAGATATAGGCAAGGCCACAGAGTGCTTTTCATAATTAAACCTGTGCGCTTTCAATAGGTATTTCATTCACTGGGTTAGGTGTATTCATTGCCTTTTTCATAATTAATGGTGTGCACTTTCATTGAATATTTCATTAGGAATTTTGGGCGCTTTCATTGCTTTTTTCATAATTAATCCTGTGTGATTTCAATAAATATTTCATTCACTATGTTAGGTGTATTCAATGCCTCTATCATATCTAATGGTGTGCGCTTTCATTGAATATTTCATTAGGAATATTGGATGCTTTCATTGTACTTTTCATAATTAATGTTGTGCAATTTCAATAAATATCTCATTCCCTAGGTCAGGTGTATTCATTGCCTCTTTCATATTTAATGGTGTGCGCTTTCATTGAATATTTCATTAGGAATATTGGATGCTTTCATTGTACTTTTTATAATTAATGTTGTGCAATTTCAATAAATATCTCATTCCCTAGGTCAGGTGTATTCATTGCCTCTTTCATAATTAATATTGGATGCTTTCATTGTACTTTTCATAATTAATGTTGTGCAATTTCAATAAATATCTCATTCCCTAGGTCAGGTGTATTCATTGCCTCTTTCATATTTAATGGTGTGCGCTTTCATTGAATATTTCATTAGGAATATTGGATGCTTTCATTGTACTTTTTATAATTAATGTTGTGCAATTTCAATAAATATCTCATTCCCTAGGTCAGGTGTATTCATTGCCTCTTTCATAATTAATGCTGTGCGCTTTCATTGAATATTTCATTATCAATTCTGGGTGCTTTCATTGTGCATTTCAATAAATATTTCATTAGCTAGGTTATATGTATTCATTGCTTCTTTCATAATTAATGATGTGCACTTTCATTGAATATTCCACAGCTTTCATTGGGATTTTTCATTGAGTATCTCAATATTTCATTCCAATTTCATATCTGCCCCCAGGGATATCATTATGATTTTTCATTATATTCCATGATAGCAATGAAATAGCTATTACAGTCCATCCAATGGGTCATTGGGAGGGTGGTCACATGACAAATTTCCAAAAATGGTAAAAAAACAAAAGTTGTAGCTCTTTACCATAGCTTCCAGAATCAGTTGGAATTATGTCCTAAAGTGCTTCCATTGTGGAGATATAAGGTAAAAGGTTTTCAAAAGCGCTGCGTTTTTTTTTGTTTTTTGCATTTTTCTTCATGAAAAGAACACTAAACAACATGATTTCAACAGATTTAAAAAGCTAAGAGAAGGGGCTACAACTATTGTATCGTGGGAAATTTCTCCCAAAAAGGAAGGTACATGCCCTAAAAGGGTAATTGACACTGACAGACTACAAAAGTAATTTATAGCCTACAAAGTTTACTAATAGACTACAAAAAAGACTACAAAAGTTGGACATAGACCACAAAGGTCAGACAAAGACTACAAAAATTAGTAGTGTCTGCCGTGTAGAGTCTGCTTTGTTCATTATAAAAGTTAATAGTGTCCACTTTTTGAGACTACAATGGTTTGTAGTGTCCGCTTTTTTCATTACAAAAGTTAATTGTGTCCACTTTTCTGACATATAGTATGTAGTGTGGTTAGCTATATATATATAGGTCATTGGGGATATGATTGAAGGATTGGGATGAGTTGACATTCTGCCACTTATGAATAGTTGCTTTTGATGTCAGGTCCATGGCTGTTTTCCACACTAAGCCACTATCCTATCTTTGATGTTGGTTAACCTTCCACTCAGATCAGTATCTGCTGTCCTATGTCTGACCACAGTCAATCTTCACATGATTTTTTTGGAGTGATAAATTCTCTGTGCTACCAATGCAACTTGTCATGTCTTTCAATACCAAGACCAGTTGTCATTCTCCAAGCCTTCACCACTCGGGTCAGCCTTGAGTAGATTGATTTAAAGGTACCAAAAGTGAGTTAAATATGTGGTTGGTCCTGTCTGTTTTTCAATGTCTATCCAGGATTCATGTGAAGCACACCCTTTGATTAGATAGGATAGTGACTTCTCATATGAAAAGACATCACAGATTGCAAGTATAAAAAGCAGCCATGGACCTGACATCAAAAGCAACTATTCATAAGTGGCAGAATGTCAACTCATCCCAATCCTTCAATCATATCCCCAATGACCTATATATATATAGCTAACCACACTACATACTATATGTCAGAAAAGTGGACACAATTAACTTTTGTAATGAAAAAAGCGGACACTACAAACCATTGTAGTCTCAAAAAGTGGACACTATTAACTTTTATAATGAACAAAGCAGACTCTACAAACCATTGTAGTCTGAAAAAGCAGACACTACTAACTTTTGTAGTCTCAAAAAGCGGACACTACAAACCATTGTAGTCTCAAAAAGTGGACACTATTAACTTTTATAATGAAAAAAGCGGACACTACAAACCATTGTAGTCTCAAAAAGCAGACACTACTAACTTTTGTAGTCTCAAAAAGCGGACACTACAAACCATTGTAGTCTGAAAAAACAGACACTACTAATTTTTGTAGTCTCAAAAAGCGGCAGACACTACTAATTTTTGTAGTCTTTGTCTGACCTTTGTGGTCTATGTCCAACTTTTGTAGTCTTTTTTGTAGTCTATTAGTAAACTTTGTAGGCTATAAATTACTTTTGTAGTCTGTCAGTGTCAATTACCCTTTTAGGGCATGTACCTTCCTTTTTGGGAGAAATTTCCCACGATACAATAGTTGTAGCCCCTTCTCTTAGCTTTTTAAATCTGTTGAAATCATGTTGTTTAGTGTTCTTTTCATGAAGAAAAATGCAAAAAACAAAAAAAAACGCAGCGCTTTTGAAAACCTTTTACCTTATATCTCCACAATGGAAGCACTTTAGGACATAATTCCAACTGATTCTGGAAGCTATGGTAAAGAGCTACAACTTTTGTTTTTTTACCATTTTTGGAAATTTGTCATGTGACCACCCTCCCAATGACCCATTGGATGGACTGTAATAGCTATTTCATTGCTATCATGGAAT